TCTAATATTTTCCCTCATTTTTATAGCGAGTTTCTATGTAAAAAAAACATTGAGGGTACCTTGGTGGACATTGGTGTCCTCACATTGTGAGGGTTCGGGGAAGCCCCACAAAGGTATATAAGGTCATTCTTGTTACTTTGATAAGAGACTGGTCACCAGATTCAAACTCATGACATGACTCCATTCTATGTGAGGACATGTGTACAATTGTTTCAATCATAACTGATTTTAAGGATTACTTCGATAAATATATTCCTTAATTTATTGTACATCACCACTATTTGTCACAGATTTCAATAATTTACAAATGTCACTCATATACCTTAGAGTGCTATGACCCCAGGTTGACTGTGGTACATATCATTCTACTATTTTGTGAATATATTCCTTTGTATCTATTCTTTTATGAATAAAATTCAAAGATATGCATGTAATGAATTCGAATGCATAAACATCTAAAATATAATTTCAGATGGAACAATGAGATGTTAAATTAATTAAAAATCTCATACGAATATAATTTATACCAAATTGTAAGACTTGAATAAAAGTCTAATTAGAATTAGTAATGTTCATATTTTTAAAACTCATGAAAGAGTAAAATAAAAAATGGATGAACCCAATAATTAGAGAGTGTTCTTATTCTCAAAATAGTAGACAATCATGAAACTTAATTTATATTCTCATGCGGTGAATCTCTTATTCTTTAGAGATTCTACGAAGATAAAAACTAAAAGTATATTTTCAAGTTATATATATCCTGACGAGATAAATCACATTTAATCCTCTTATATTAAGGGATTTACTTTAAAATTTATATTTTCAATTTTTTTTTATTTGGAAATTTCTTTATCCAAATAACTCTTGGGAGGTTTCTTTATCCCCAAAAAAATATTGTAATTGCATTTCAAAAAAAAAAAGACACAATAACAATAAACATCATTCACTAGTGCCAGCTAAAAGCTAGTTAGTTACATAATTATTTAATATATACTGGTGCATTAGTATATGTCTAGAGAAGTATGTGTAAAAATGGTTAATTTTTTTCTATCAAATTAAATAAGCTTTTGTGATTTGCTTTTCACAAAGTGTGCCGGAGTAGCATTGAATTCTAAAATAAGTGTTGAAGATACTCAAGTTCATTTGAATGCATAATGTCAAACTCCGGTCAAATTGATTGGTCAATTAAATTTGTAGAGACTTGTGTGGAAATTCTTTATCACACAAATAATTAATATAGAAAACTGAATAATGGTACTCAAATCCGTCCGAGGCCAAAATGCCAAATACAAGTTGAGATGGTCAACCATCTTAAAAAAATTACATGATCATGAGTACATTCATGAACTTGTGTAGTTCATATGATATAAAACAGAAACTTGTGTATAAACAAAATCGATTCTTTGTGAGAAAATTCTTTATCACAAAAAAATAATCATGAGAGTATGTCTCTTTATTGACAATATTTTACAATGCATCGAAGTGAGGAGATATATATTCACCTCCTTAAAAAAATCATAGAGATTTTTATAGGATGTTATATGGTGTTTTTAATATAGAAAGTATTAATATTGGTCTAATGAACGGATTAGGCATAAAATATAGTAATCTTACGTGATTATGGTTCCAACTATATGTAAGTGACATATAGCATTACGGAATAATATAATCACATAATATGTTTAAAATAATTAAAAAAAGTGCATAATATGATTTTAATTCCAACTATATGTATCTAACATATAGCTTTACGGAAAGTATAATCATATAATCATATAAAATACATGAAAATAAGATTAATCGTGTGATCTTTGATTCCAATTATATGTATATGACATATAGTTTTACGAAAAAGTATGATCACATAGATGTATAAAAACGAAGAGGGATGCATAATGTGATATTAATTCCAACTATATGATTATAACATATAGCATTACGGAATTATAATAAAAAATTGCATCTATCTCTCAAAAAAATGGATGAGGCATATCATCAAACACTTGGGGTGCAAGAAATGGATCTCAAAAAATTGACAACTTAATCTCTAAAACAAATCAATGATGTTCATCACAATGGTAAACATGATGCAATAAATCATATACATAAGATCTTGCAATGAGTTTTGAGTAAAAAAATACCTCAACAGAGATCCGGGAATTGGTGAATCGCAGGCTAGGAAGGGGGGAGGTCGGGCGACGGTCGATGTGTTGGGAGGCGGCCAAGCGTGGCTAGATTGCTAGCGGCGCGGCTGGACTACTGGAGGCGCGACTGCGGATTGAGTGTAGGGAGAACGGGAGAAAAAAATAGGTTTAGGGCTACATGCTGATAACGTGTGGTAGGGAGAATTGGGTGTATAGTTTCATTATCAAAGACTTTATAAATAGGGAGATGTTAGGGTTTACATAGATGGACCAATGGGCCCATATAATAGATAGTTTACATAGAATGATCCTAATACATATTCTATATACACGATAGCATACTACACATAATTTCCTTCAACACATCTACAGTAACTTCAACCAATACAGCCAGAAAAGTAACTCCAACTTTACTTTTTCGGCTTATTACACAATTCAGCGCGCGAAAGCAAAATTTACGTGTTTGGTAAAAAAGTTGGCTGATAAACCTAATAAGCCGAAAACGAGGGTTGCCAAACGGCCTCATTATGGTTTTGATCCGGAAACAGACTGGAAGAACCGATCTCTACATTATTAATCGACTTTACTAAAGAATACATGTAATTTGTTTAATAAAAATGGGGTATTTGTAACTAATAATATTACTATTATTATTTATTTATTCACTTTTATTAGACTTTTAGAGCAAATATTGAAACAATTTGAAAGTAGAATAGTAAATACTCCCTCCGTCCCGAAATTATCTTCATACTTTCCTTTTCGGTCTGTCCCAAATTTATCTCCTCTTTCCCCTTTTAGCAAAGAATTTGTGGTTCACAACCATTCTTACACATTCTTACACATTTCTCTTTCCTCTGCACAACTCTCCACCACACATTTCTCACTATCTTAATCTGTGTGTCATTTGTACTTCAGGAGATAAATATGGGACGGAGGGAGTATTAGTTAGTTCTATTATCAAGAAAATAAGAATAAATAGATGAATATAACACATTAGGACAATATATACTAAAAATACAAAAGATTACTATTTACGGAGTATATTTTTATTAACTATTATTATTTTTTATTATTCTATAACTACGGACTATTTTATATTATTCCTATTAATTAATATATTAAAAATATATAGCAAAATCGGTTTAATCAGATTCAAACCAGAACAATCCGATTTTTAACCGGACCGAAAATGGATTTACAATATTTAAAAACCGAAAATTGGACCGGATATCTTCCAGGTCGGTTCAGTTCCGTTTTTTTGGTCTGGTCCGGTTTGAGCCTGACCGGACCAAAATTATCCTCACATGGGCTCAGTCTCTCAGAGCCTAAAACCATCTAAAACCTCATCTTTTTTCTCGCTTTCGGAGCACATGGCATCTGCTTCTTCGACGGCCTCCTCCTCTCTCTCTCCCGCCCACGGCTGCATCGATCGTGGAAATAAGTACTTGGATAATAAAGAATAATAATAGAATAGTAAAGATTGTGTTGGTTTTTAAGTAAGAGTTTTGGGCCTTTTAGTCTGGACTTTGGGCCAGCTCTTTAGGATAGAAATATTATAAATGGGGAAAGGATGAGAGAATAAGGGAGGCTGGGTATACAGTTAGAAGTAGTTGGACTTTGGCTAGAGAGAGAAACTCCTGATTCTTTCTCTAGATTGGTTGTTATTACCTTATCTTCCCTGTAATTCTTCTGGAGTATTGACAATTCCTCAATCTCCATTGTTAATAATACTGAAGCTGTTTACCAAATTATTAGTGTCTAACACATGGCACCGCCGCCTGCTACACATAGTCCTTCGTCTTTTGTTGTGATGACCATCGCCGCTCCTACGTCATTGTCCTTGGTTCTAGAGCCACCATTGACGTTCTAAATTTATCTGTTTAAATTTAGTCTAGTTTGGTTGATGTCTGTTTTAAGTGTATTGGACAATTGTCGAGGTCTGATCTGAACTGTTTAATCTATTATGGTCTTTGATGGTAGCCAGCCCAATTTAAAACATCCTTATTATGGATACATTTGGTTTTTTGTAAATCAGTTTAATTGGAAAACAATTATAAAATGCTGAAAAATATGGAGTTCTTTTTGGTGGTGTATTAACTGGCCCAACCCCCAACTAAAATTACTAAAACCCGGCCCAGACACATAGTAGTGAGGCTTATTTTCAGAACCTTGCTCTAAAATATTTTGGAAAATTTCAAGTTCCATAAACAAAACAAAGTAAGACTGAACCCAACCCCCCACTACAAACTTCCATCTATGTACTATGATCGTCTCCTGCAAGCATTTCCCGCCTTCGCCTAGCAACCTTGGATCTATAACACCATGCTTCAAAGGCTTCGGTAAGGTCTGGATACCTTGGATCTGCCCACCACCCTGTCAAGATCTCGGCTTGATCAGCAGAAGGCAGTGTAAGTATTAATGAAACAAATGATGACTCCAATGACTGCCATATCTCATCATCAATCATAGGGATCCCATCATTGGAACTCATCTTGCCAATCAAAGGGCTCGTTTCCCTTACAAATGAAAGCCAGACCTTTGTCATGTGAAGCCGTTCCATTGCAGGCATAACAACCGTTCCGTATCCTATTGCCTCTAACACCTTTGCTGCCACCTCAAGAACTTTTATTCTTATCAAAACGGTCTCAGTTTCTTCGCTCAACTTCTGTACCACTTTTAATATTTTGACCGACATCTCCGACCATCTGTGAACAAAATCTCTCATAATCTCCATCTTTGATAATATCTGACACGCCCAGCATAAATCTGATAAACCCGATTTAAAGGATAGTGGTAGCATTTTGCCGTCCTCAGAATCACACTGTAAAGATTCTACTAGTTCACTAAACCTATCATGGAGTCTCTTAATGCATTGCACCACTTCTAGTTTGACCTCATTACTATCAGCTGTTAATAGAGAGCCATCGTCATCTTCGGTCAGCATGTACTCGAGCTGTTCTTGAGCTGTTCTTTTTAGATCATTCAAAGATTCTGGAGGTGAGGAGGTGGCGAATCGCATTGCTGAGACAAATAGTTTGATTATAGCAGAGCGAGTGACAGGTTGTAGACGGGCAAGTACAGGTCCCACTTGGGATCCCATGTTTGGAATTACTTTTAGGATATCTTCTTCTTCAGCTTCCTCCCATGGGACAGCTTCCAGATATTCTGCACATGCAGTGACAACTTCCGGGCAGCCGAGCTTGAAGGCTGCCTGTAAAATGCCAAGGGCAGTCCTTACACCATGGCAAATATCAGCATTCACTGAAGAATCTGAAATGAGATACAAGAGACGTAGGACGTGGAGTGTGTGGTCGAAGTCACTTTCTTCACAGTGAACCTCAACACAGTTGCGGGAGTCGAGAATTTGACACATGGGCCAGGTGTCGGATAACCGGTCAGCAAAATACTTGCTTTGTTGGACAAGGATATGAGAATGGCAATAAACCCAGTGATCACGATCCTGTGTTCTAAGTCTTACCACAACATCACTGGTTAGGCGGTCATCGATCCTGCTTGATGCTTTTGATTCTTTTCTCTGATTAAAGATAAGAAAGCAGGCAGCGTGATTTTTAGGAAACAAACCTAACTGGCTTTAATGTTTCAAACCATAATACGTTTTGCATAACTAATTGATTGAAAACTATAAACAAGTACTACCATCGTCCTGGACTCCAAACTTAAGCTTCTTGTTGAAAAGTTATTTAGACAATAATTAAATAAGGTAATTCAAATATATCTTGAGAAATAGTTTTGATGGGTATATAACATAATGAGGTCATTGATGAAAACTGTGATGTTATAGGTGTATAATTTGTAATATTTAATGAGTAATTTGTCATTTAAGAGTGCTAATTATTTCCTAAAATATAAATGGGAAACTTAAGTTGAGACATCCAAAAAACGCAAGTGCGAAGCTTAAGTTGGGATGGAGGGAGTATAAAAGAGTGCTTCAACAAACAAAAATAAAGTAACGTGAACCTAGTTTGGTGGGGGGGACTGTGACTGGTTGAATTGACTGAATTATGTTACAATGTACAACAAACAATTCTTCTGATAAATGGAATGAAATGCCAAATGCTAAGGAACCAAAGTGGCACTAAGGTTTATCATACGGATAAAGTTGCAAGCTAGAACAGTTGCATAGTAGTACGGTAGTAAGGGCTCCAAATTATGTAGGGAGTCATAATTTCAGAATCGTTTACGCTCCATAAGGAACCCGAAAAAAGCTAGGAAGAGACAATAGGGAAAAAACTAATGAAAATACTTAGAAGTAAACAAAATGTTGAAGCAAAATAAAATCTTGGTTCAAATTCAATAAATATATGCTTTTTATTTGAACAAATTCATTTCATATATTCATTTCTATCACATAAAAACGGTAGAAATCTCAACACAAGTGAAAAACTTATAACCATTAATCATATTTCGTATTCCTTTGCATTTTCTATCTGAGGTAAAACCAAACATGAGAAAACAGCTTTCTATTTGGTAGCATTTTCCGGTATCCAAAGTAGCTTAAAGAATTCAAAAACTCACATGACAATCCATCAAGCAAGCAAAAAGAATGGTTCCAGCTTCTATTTATTGCATCACCTATAAGAGAAAAAGAATATGAACCATTGCTTCTAAATAAGGACACTAAAATTGCACTATCTCTACACATAATTAGAAAACAGACCAAATAGAGGAAATGCAGCATCAGATAGCTTGACTCATTTAAAATTTAAATCAAGGAGTCTATATTAGTCTGTATTAATAATTCTACTTAAGTACTTAGAGTAGGACAATAACACACCCAAACGCATTTTATACATGGGTCATATGTGTGTCAAGTGCTGTATAAAGTTACATTTTTTATCAATAATTTTCAACAATTGATTATGTAAGCCTACTTGGTTGCCATTAAAATGAGCTGTGACAATAGGTCCCATGACCTCTAGTTCTAAAAGTTATGCCCATGCACCCAAATCAGACAGAGACAGATTTTTAAAACCTTGAATTCTGATCTAAAATAGGAAGTCTCAATATGATCTACAAAAGGAGACTTGACCAACAAAATACATGAGGTTCTAGTCAAATTCTTGATAATATAGCTACAATATTGAGGTTACTATGAGTTCATAGTGGAGACAATGAAGTCAGTACAACAGTATTAGTCTCGAGGGAGCCAAACTTCTGGTTACACGTGATGATAAAATAGACATTTGTTAAGAACGAGGCATCTCAAAGGGGAGATGCAAGAGGTCTAATTTTAATGGAAACAGCTTACAAGTTACAACTAAGGGTTTGTTTGGAATGTGGAAGATGATAGGGAAAGATAATATGAAGGCAAATGAACATGTTTGAGGAACATTAAACATTGTTTCAGTCTTTCAGACTCAGTAACATTATATTTTTTATATTTTCTCATATATTATATATTATATATTCGCTTATATTTTGTGTTTATTTCTACTGTACAAATATTAAGCAGTTCAAAAACTGTAATAACTTTTTAAAGCGGACACCATATTTCATTTTCTTTGCATTTCCCGTGGTAAACCTAAGCATAAGAAATGAGTCAAATGACTTTCCTTAACATCTCTACCCCTTGTCCTATAAAAAACATTTCTATCCTTTTCCTAGTACTTCCCGAATCTAAACATAGCCTACAAGATCCAGAAAATAACGAAGCAATTATCAAACCTTATATAACAATACACATTAAAAAAATGAAAACTATCTACAGGGACTCGTGATTGAAAACAAATGGAGTATAGAAATCTGAGGTCCGAATTTTAAATAATTGGTCAAGTTTATCAACACCCTTACGTGGTTACAGCGGCTACTGACCATTCCTCCATCTCAGCCGATTCTGAATAGTTTGTAATGCATAAGAAGACTGATTTGGAAACTTGGATTAGGGAAAATAGGAAATGCAATAAAGGGGTGTTGAATTAGACAGAAGATAAGATAAACCAATCTGAAATCAAACATCATTTAGAAGGTAAGTAGAAATCTGGATTTCAGAAGCTGTGATGTACTTACTGGACTACCTAATTCCTCTTCCCCACTATCCCCAGCTGTAGTTGGTTAAGTCCTTTAGCGAATCAGACAGCACGCAGTTGGGGAACTGAGCTTTGGTCTTTGATTGAGCTTTGATCAAACGTTTCCTTATGCTCATCAATTTACTCACCTTAAAGGTATCCATTCATTTTACACACATCTTATAAAAGTGGGTTTTGTTTGCCAAGAAAGGAAAGGGAACTTTTATTTAGGGACGGCCAGAAAAGGAAACAGATTTTTATTTAGGGACGGAGGGAGTATTTAATACGAGGTGAATATTGTGTCGCTAGTAACACTTATTTAGTACTTCCTCCGGTTCTTATTTAAGTTCCCAGTTTGACTTCACACATATTAAGAAAATGAATTTGACTTTACTGTGGAGTGCACTGTTTGGCACCGTTTGGCACTGTTTGGACACTGTTTGACACTGTTTGGCACTGTTTTGCACTGTTTTGTTTCCTAAAATGGAAGTGTGAATTTAAATAAGGGACATCCCAAAAAGGAAAGTGGGAACTTTAATAAGAACCGGAGGTAGTATATTTTGTTAGTTTATGATAATTTGTTGTATTGAGAGAAATGCATGATAATTTACCGATATCGTACTGTTACCATACCGAAACTTCGGTATACCGAAATGCGGTATACCGAAACTTCAGTAAGGTAATGGTATATAAATTTTGTATACCGAAAGTTTTGGTACGGCAAAAGGTATGAGAGACAATATTCAGTATACCGTACCGAACCACCCCTAGCTTTGGCCCCCTAGAACAAGCAATATCTCTGTCCTGACCTAAACATTCTGATATATTATATTGTTTGAATGAGTAGAAACAGTTTTAAGAAGTAGATTCTAACATCCTCTAAATATGTTGAATATAGTGATATACTCCCTTTGTCCCTTAATTAACTTTACATTCACATTTCACGGTCTCCAAGATTATGTTTGACCATTGAAATGTAAAAATATACACTTATAAAACTGACTTCGTATAATATATCAAAATTTCAAAAAAATATATTTAAATGAAGTATTCAAATTTATTTTGATATTATAAAATATTTCCCTTTTTAAGTAAGTAACGGTTAAAGTTTACAAAGTATGACTCAAAAAGTCAAAGGCTATGTTTGACAGACATAAGTCTCTGTCTTCTAGCTTTTGTACTATTCAAAAAGTCTCTAAAAGCTTTTATTTGTATGTTTGGCATGACAATTTTTAAAAGTTTTACAAAAATTAAAAGATCTTTTTTGAGATGCTACAGGGAGTAGCATCTGAGAAAAGCCCGTGACTTTTAGTATTAGTTCATCCTAACAGCTTGTATATCAAACCGAACTAAATCAAACAGTCAGTTTTTTACCAAACAACTATCACCTTTTTTAAAAATCTTTTCAGTCATTAAAACCTAACATTTATTAAAAAGATCACAAAAATATCTTTTCAGGTAATTATGTTAAACATACCCAAAGTGTAAACTTAAATACCGGAGAAAGGGAGTAATAATGAACTACCGACGACGCCTGTTTTACTTTTTTTTATTGTATGCCTGTTTTACTTTAAAAAGCCTGATTGCCTTTTAAAATGTCAAAAAGCTTCCTCTTAATGGCCTAGCCCTTATGCCTTTAATTTATCATCATAACATTTCTTCGTAACCTAAGCTAGTAAAACTGTTATCGTACTAGCCTTCCACGGTATTTCCTATAAATTTATGCGGATTATGCTCTTGATGTTTAACTTTTTCCCTATTGAGAAATTTGCTCCTAGTAGGACCAAATCATAGCTCTTTTACAAAAACAATACCTACTAATGTTTTTTTCATTTATATTACCTATTTAGTTCTAGATTAGAAAATCTATTTCTAACTTTCCAAATTTGCCCTTCAAAGAGTTCAAACGGGTAGCTGAAGAAAAGGAATGCCGCCACCGCCACAAGCTTGCTAGTCAGACTGTCGACAAGGCAGCACATGGTGCTTTCGAAGCTGCGGCAGCGGCCACGGTCGACGGAAGCAACGACTCTGATTTTGGAATTGTGGATCTGAAATCACATCTCCATCTCTCTTCTTCGTCGCACCTCCATCTTCGCCGGAATCGTCACACCTCCGTCTTTGCCGGAATCACTGCAATTAGGGCAGTGGCGCACCAGGCCCTTCTTATTCTCCCCTTCTCCTTGCGGGTCGGAGCATTAGGCTGATTGCTTTTCAGAATTTATTGTTTATTTATTGTCTACTTATTGTCTATTTAATGTCTGTTATTTTCTAAAAGTAAGAGTATTGTGGTCAATGCAGGTGTAGTTGAGTCTTACCCTAATCTTCGGTCTTAGTTTTGGAAAATCCGTACGTTTTGCTCCTACTTGTTGAAATCTCCCCTTTTTATTTTCTCATCCTTTGCTTTGTTTAGAAAATAGATTGATCGTGTCGACCCAGAAACAGACGACTAGAACCAAAAACCAATTTGGGTAGTTTTTGTTTTTTTACTAAACCAATTTGGGTAGTTAAGAATACGAAAATGATAATATACAAAAAAAAAAACTGAAGCCCCCATATCAGCCTGGAAAACCCAAATTCAGACTCGATACGGAACACCCGTAAACACCCATTTTTGAGTTTTTTTCAATACTTTTAAGGGTATCTCTTTGGTGCCTCCTGGTTACGGAACGTTTTGGTGCAACGTCCATATGGCCAGATCCTATTGGAGATATATTACACGTAAGCCATTTCATTAAAAAATTTAAATATTGCATTTTGAACCTTACGAAGTTAAAAAATTCTGAAAGTCTTATTCACCTGCCCAGAACTCCAGCCATTCCTATCGTCGCTATTTCATTTTTAGAAATTAGTTCAAATAGGACTAAAACTATGGCAAAAACCTAAAATAGGACTTGCTATGTTTTTATTCCAAAATAGGACCATATGAGTCCTATTGGAAACATACCTATTTTTGCATTCCATTCTTACCCTTCCATTAAATATTAATTAAAAATAGTCAAAAGCCATAATTAAATGTTTAATTCATAATAAATTCGAAAAAAATTCAAAAACTCGTAGAAATATAATTAAAAAATTTATAAAATTTTTATAAAATAAAAAATTCAAAAACTTTTTTTTTAAAATAATTTTATTTTTAAAAAAATTAATAAAAAATAGTAAAACTCCGTAAAAAAATTTTAAAAAACATGGATGCCTTTCCCACCGCCTATACTACCTCCCAGCACCACCACCTCCGGCCGATGAAAAAAAATGCCATTTTCCCAGAAAAATGCCATTTTTTCTGAAAATGCCAAAAAGTGGCATATTTCTCTTTTCGAATGCCAACATTTTCATTTTTTTCTGCCATAAATATGGCATTCGTAATGAACTTGGAATTTTTTCCCCTGGTGACTGGAGGTGGTGGTGCAGAGGCGGCGGCGATTTTTTTTTTGAGTTTTTATTTTTTTTTAATTTTTTTTTAATTTTTTAATTTTTTGAAAAAAAAATTAATTAAATTTTTAATATCGAAATGTTTTTCTTAATTTTTTAGTATTTTTTACGAATTTTTATTATTTTTGTATTATTTTATTAGGAATTAAAACATTTTAATAGTTATAAGGGTATAATTGTCCAAGGTACACATAATTAGTCCTATGCAAACATAGTTTATTTTTTGATCCTATTTGTGAAAAGTGAATGACTTTTAGTCCTATTTTGATAATTAACTCTTTCATTTTCCGTCTTCCTTCTAATAGGAAAACATGTCAGATTACAAATCCAAACCAAAATCTCCGACGATGTGTGTCAAGCCTCAGGTTTCTTTCAAACTGCAGATTCGCGGACTACACTTCTAGCCTTCCAGGTTGGTTGAATTTAACCTAAACCTCCAGACGTTTCACTTTTCTGCTACTTTATTGATACTCAAGTGAAAACAGGATAATCCCTACCTTGTTCTTCATATTAACCATCAGCTCTGATTTTTTTCGTATTAGAATTTTCCTATTATGGCTTTGTGGGAATGCAATTCATGAGATGTTAGCAGGCTAGCAGCTTAGTTTTTTTCACATTAGTTAGCTATGGCAAATTTGTTTCCAACTTGGACTTTTTATGATCTTACTATTGTGATTGTATTTTTCCCCCGATGATATACATATCTCTGAATATGCTTTTCCTTTAAGGATGTTAGTCATGTTACTTAGATATATTTTAGATTCCCACCTCCCCCCTACTGCAATTCTTTTAGATGGAAAATGCTCTTCTTGGCACTGTTGTAAAGTAGAATCAAATTTCATAATGAACTTGTAATTCATAGGTGTATTTGGAGAGATTGAGGAGGAGGAGGATAGAGTGATTGAAAAGGAAGAAGGCTTCCTTCCTGCTCTTTTGCGAAAACAATCTAGATCAGAAATCATGTCTAGAAAAAACCGGCCAAAGGTGATTGTGGAATAACTTTCTTTTTGGTCAGTTTCAGAATTGTTAGGCGTTGGAAAATAGCTCACACCCAAAGCCAGGTTAAAGAAACTGGTCGCTCAGTCCAATCATCTCCTTCACTGATAAAACTGTCACCAAGTGAGGTTTCCTTTTCTTAAATGTTTTGCGTTTACTCCAGATGAAATCCTTACATATTGCACTAATTATTGATCTAATTTGTTTGTTAGATATGTTAGCCCTAATTTTCATTTCTGATTGTGAATTTATTCGTTGTCAATTTAATGGAACTGCATATTGCCTTTTGAGTTAAAAAATTGGGTTTGTTTCAAATGATGAGATTGTTCCTATTAACTATAGTTGTTTCTTATTACAAGGTTGGTATTTTAATATCAATCTGCACATCATGTAGCATGGTCATTCAAGAACCCAAAACATTATTTAAGGAGTAAAGAAAGAACTTTTAGGAAGCATTGATGTTTCTGAACTTTGTAAAAAGAATTCTTTGAACAAGAAGTAAATGACTACAAAATAAATTCAAGTTTATATGGCCTTGTTGAGATTTGATGGACCACACATTCATGGTGGTGAGTTCATATAAACTTTCTTTATAGGCGTGTTGTTTGTTATGAAAAAACCCAATATCCTGGTCTTTGATAACGCATGAAGGAATGCTCATTGTTCATAATGCGGTGAGGTGGGCTGAGGAAATGCTTGTAAACGGTAGGGAATTTCTAATTCTCTTGATTGGTTGTGTTACATACTTTGATACTTAATACATGAAATATTGAACT